CTTTTTGCGGGGACGGGGCGGGTTGAGAGAAGCAGGACCGGCGGGCGCGCGCGCACAAACACACACACCTGTGCGGTGCGTCAGACTGCAGACAGAGCTTCCTTTTCCAGGCGTAAACACCGCTATTCACCTTACTTTTTTAATTAAGTTCACATGTAACCGCACGAGCTACAACACACCGTAGTAGAAGGCGCATTTCCTGCTCTTTCTAAAGACTACTGTACTTTTATGTTTCTACACAGGCATTTCCTTGCGCGTTCCCTAATCGAATCCCCCAGAATGCCACACGTCCCGCTGCTTAACACAAACCTAACAACCTACAAAGGTGTGCAAGTGTATGACACCATCGCCACCGCGGTGTTCGTCGTCCTGAATTCTCCTCCCCACAGAAGGCCGCCGTGCGCAGGGATTGGACGGAGGTGGGCGCTGCTCTGACTGGACTCTAATCAGCTAATTACCCGCTCGTTTCTCCCCCCACGAAGCATTTAGAGTGAGGTAATGTCCAACCCCTGTCCCGCCTGAGAACACCTTCAGCTGCATCAAAGCAGCGCGCTACATTAGAAGATTAGCCAATTGTGTTTTCACTATCTACAGCAGGTGCCAGCTCCAGTGACTGCAGCAGGCTGCCCATAAACAAGCTGCTCAAACACCGTATAGTTCTCCTGCCGCCCGCAACCTGTACCGTGGAGTACATCCACTACAGTAACTTCACATCCTACTGTATCTGTTTTCTTAAAGAAATGTCAAACGCGTGGAATGTTCCCGCGTTTATAGTCCCATTCTCATGCATTAGGGGCCATATAACAGTGTCATTAAAGTTTATGACGGAGAATGGCACACAAACCGTATTAAAGTGTAACGAGTTTGGCAAAGGAGCTACACGTTAATTGGCCCCTTGATTCATTTGGGCTCATGCTGTTTTTTAGGAGCTGACAAAGTGAAGGTGATGAAGTTAATGCTGACACCTTATCTTTAAAACTTTTCACACAATGTTTCCAAAACTTTTGAAGCGACTTTTGAACAACAAACCCCACTGACAAAATTCGCGAGTTTTTCTTTTTTGTAATGTCGAAAAAACTGTTCTAAATACGTTGGTGAGGAACACGCGTTTCAGAAATGTAACATTCTCGCCTGTTCTAAATACGTTGGTGAGGAACACACGTTTCAGAAATGTAACGTTTTTCGACATCGTTTTTGTATCGTTTTTCAATGTCTCTTGTCGCCCTTACTGAAACAACACTTTAGATTTCAACGCCTTTATTTTAGACTTATCAGATAGTTTTTTATTTAGTAAACTATATCAGCAAAATATAATCTGGAGGGTAAAGTATCATCCTGCTCTGTTTTATTTTCAAAAAGTCCATAGTGTTTGCGCACTATTTGCTGTGGTTCTGCTGTTTTTCTTGATACTGTATGTCAGTGGTCCTCAAACGTTTTATCCTCTGTACCACCTGAGAAAACATTGAGCTCTCTGAGTACCACCATGATGACCAACATTAGAATATAGCAGCATTTATAAATGTTCATAAATGTTTATAAAGATGTTTATATTTAAATGTTATATTAATTGTGCCTGGTATGTTTTAGATTTATTCAATTAAACATGTAAATGTGTAAATGTGAATTTTCCCCGTGTACCACTAGAGAGCCCTCGCGTACCACTGGTGGTACACGTACCACAGTTTGAGAACCACTGCTGTACGTCACAGAGTGGGGGCACACAGCAGCCCCTGGCCTAGCGGTTACAGGATTATGTTTTTTGACTGAAGGGTTGCTGGTTTGAATCCCATGACTGGCAACAGTTTAGTCTCATTCTGTTGGTAATGACTGGGGTATTTACTGTATATAAAATAAAAACTCTTTGTTTTTCTGTCTTTCTTTATATCACATTGGAATAAAAAGTTGAACCTCGAGCCCTGGTTGCATATTAAAACTCTTGGTCCTGAGGTGTCTTGACCTCCTTTCTTTTCCTCTGTTCCAAACGTGCACATAGATGCATGGCCTCTTGGACCGTTTGACGATATTCTCTGAATACAGAACACACCTTTCACACCGCAAAAAGGTTCAAAGGCACCGACGGGTCCTTGATGCTGCAGTACAAAGCCAGGGTGTATCTGAGTGTTGTGCTTCAGTGACCTTAGCAGCCACAAAAGAGTTTACTGAAACATTACACAGCTTATCAGTAATTACAGGCATATTTTTCAATCATTACCACAGCTGCGAGACAGTTCCCCTTTTCCTGATAACAAAAAAAAAAAAAAAAAGGTGAGATTTCAGAGCACTGGCCCTGCCCTCTTAAGCACAAACTCCCAGTGGGACAGTGGCCCACGTTGGTTTATTTAACCCACACACTGATAAGACCCTACACGCTGGTGAGGAATGAGGCTGAAAAAAAAAAAAAAAAAAATTCAGGAGCTGAAAAAGTAACAACTTTTTACCTGAGAAAAAAGATAATATACAACTGTTTGAGAACTCTTAATAAAACTGGTATTTATTATGTAGTAAAAATGGTTTTAATTTAGACCTTTAAACTGCACACATTTAATTCAATTTTTTTAGTTTTACTTTATTCACTGACTTTAAATATAGGGGACATTAAACAATTAGAAATTTAGACTCAGATTTGGACCTAGTGTACAAATTTGAAAATCAAATAAGAAATAAGAAAGTTCAACTCAGCATCACATGTGGCTTGATTTTCTCTTAAACAAACTCGCTGTGAAACACATGGTTTTCAGGGCATCTGTCAACCAGCAGCGATTTTCTCACCGGAGCTTTTTGAATGTGGCCGTGATAAATGATTCAGGTCGAACAATAAGCTTTCTGTGGAGTCAAACTCAGCTCCGTATCCTCCCGATAATTAGACTAATTCCCACAGCGTTAAAGCTACAAGATAAATCAGCTTGCTCTCTGCCAGACCTTGAGACTAAAATTAATGCTGTCTCATTATAGAGATAAAGGAAATTTACGAGAGTTTGAATTCTCTCTGGGTCTCTGTTCCATGTCCCCATCATTTATTAACCAATATACTGTAGAGCACTGCTGTGTGAATTCCAGCTCACTGGCCTTTTGACTCCACTTGTTGTTTCCTATATGGATATTCTTTTTTTGACTTTTCAGTAAAACAAATAATAAGGCCTGCACTGTGGCAGACCAAACTTTCAATCTATTTATAACGCCTGGTTACACTTCTCCCCTTGCTGTGTTTTGTATTTTATATTTTTATTTATCAATTCATGAAGGGTCGTTGTATAAGTTATGGCTTCTGAATCCACTGAATTCTATTGGTTACAGACATTTTACGCTGTCATTGTCTGCTGCTGCTTTATCAGTTGTTTCCCTCTAAATGGGACCTTTGTTTTCAAATTGACACAATGACCTATTTAAGGCGTCCTAATTAGGATCATAAACTAATCTGACTAACTATTGATCACTCCCACCAGGAAACAAGAGAGAAAAAAAAAAAACCCCTACACATTCATTTCCATGCATTTTTCGCGGTTATGCGTTATATTTCATAAACTTAAAGGAATTTATTTTGTG